TTTTTGGGAATCCACCTATGTTTAGTGGACAAGCTCAAGTCCAAAGTGTATAGGAGCCTTTAGTGTGTTAACTGTTGCTATAAATATAAAGTCATTTGCTTGACAGGTTTACCATGACAATTTCTAAGTATTTGTCATTTCCCCACCTATCATTGTTCCCCACTTGATGAACACTCACAACTAAAATAGAGGGCTTGTTTCCTAAGTCTGTTTTAGGTTTATAAGTAATACACACTCGTGAGTGTCATTCCATCTGGACTAAGGTGGTTGTTTGTTTGTTTTTTTAAGTTAGAAAAAATTTTTACTTTTTACCCTGTCTTAACACATTCATTTATTCAACAAATAAGTATTGAGTAACAGCACTGTTGTAGGTACATTAAAAAAAATCTTCTGACTACGAAATTGTCAAACTTGCTTTAATTCTGGGGGATCTAATGTGAAGATTTGGGCACTAAGAATGATGTTAATAGGAAAATCTGTAACTTGTTAAAGCTGAGGCTGGGTGAGTAGATGGATGACTTCCTTAATGTAACATTTTTACAGGAGTCTTGAAGTAGATATTTTGGAGTTTTCTGAGGCATAATGATATGTCCTCAAAAATTTAAGTTTTCCCCAGTGTTTTGATGCTTCATAAGCTATCCTCAATTGACAGAATTCCCAAGAGATATATTCATTCACCAATGCATCTTTCTTAACAGCCCACTTTCCTTGTGGAACTGTCCAGAGTGCTAGCAAATCCAGGAAACAGTCAAGTTGCCAGAGTTGCAGCAGGTCTACAAATCAAGAACTCTTTGACATCTAAAGATCCAGATATCAAGGCACAATATCAGCAGAGGTGGCTTGCAATTGATGCTAATGCTCGACGGGAAGTCAAGAATTATGTAAGTAACTTTTGTCTCTTTTTGGTCATGTAGCATAGGGAACAAAAATCTCTTGTCAGTTCTTTTATCATTTACATGGGATAGAGCTGATGGTATAATAGGTTTCTGGTACCTAAACTTCACTTGAAGGTAAAAATTGTATTTGATTTGTCTCATTTCAGCTTGTCCATTCCCATTAATGGATTGGAATTCTTTTAAGATAACTGAGGTAGACTGCAGCATTTTGGGAAACTTTAGTTAGATGCCAGAATTTGTAGAATCTCTGGAGAATTGTAGTATACAAATTGATGGTTCCCAAACTTGGGTTATCCAAATCACTTAAGGAACTTGTTAGTATGTTTTCAAGCTCCCTCCAGAAATTTTGATTTGGAGTGTGAGACTCGGGGATATTTTTTAACCTGTCTTCCCAAGTGGTCCTTCTAGTCAGCCAGCACCCAGCTCTTGTTGAAATTCTTCTGTAGGTAATTCTCGCTGTTCGGTGGCTTAGGCATGCTACTATGTGGAGTCAGAAGGTGAATTAAATCATCTCTTGGGCCATTGAAGCCCAGAGAATTTATGAAACAAGATTGACATTAATGGTGCTTTGATCAAATATTTAGCAAATTATGAAAAACTTTCTTTAGAAACACCGGGCTTTTGATCAAGGCATTTAGAGTAGGCTGATGGATTTTGTGGAAAATTGAATGTACCTTGTTATTCTGCATCATGGAGTTCTTGTGGCTTTTTTTAAAAATATATATTTTTATTGATTTCAGAGAGGAAGGGAGAGGGAGAGAGAGATAGAAACATCAATGATGAGAGAGAATCATTGATTGGCTTCCTCCAGCACACCCTTTACTGGGGATCGAGCCTGAAACCCAGGCATGTGCCCTTGATCGGAATCGAACCCAGGACCCCTGAGTCCAGAGGCCAACGCTCTATCCACTGAGCCAAACCAGCAAGGGCTTCTTGTGACCTTTTTATTGTTGTATTAGAAATTCATATATTTTTTTTATTTTTATTTTTTTAAATATATTTTATTGATTTTTTTACAGAGAAGAAGGGAGAGGGAAAGGAGAGGGATAGAGAGTTAGAAACATTGATCAGCTGCCTCCTGCACACTCCCCACTGGATATGTGCCTGCAACCAAGGTACATGCCCTTGACCAGAATCGAACCTGGGACCCTTGAGTCTGCAGGCCGACGCTCTATCCACTGAGCCAAACCGGTTAGGGCAGAAATTCATATTTTTAGATGTAGCAAAAGATTTGGAATATATGGACAGATGTGTTTTGCTTTTTAAAAAAAATAAATAATGGAGCTTTTTTTTTTACTGTCCTACATATATAAGGCACAGAGTAAGTCACTCATCATTGGTCCTTGGTATTTGAGGGAAAACTAGTGGAGGATTCTTGTGTGTGTACTTGAGCAGGTATGGTTATGCACGCCATATTTGCCATTTCTTGGTTCTAGGTGTCAGCATTAGGTAAATTAACGCCCCTTTCCGCAGTAAGTTCTCTTCCTAGTTATATATGTCTTTCTCCAGTCTGGCATGGATATATCCATGACAAGGAATTAAGTTATGAAAGGCAACTTATTTTGTATAGTCTTTGAAATATATAGAACTATTTTTATGTACATTGGGTCTGCTTATGTAGTAACATTTTAATCCACCCTTCAGCACTTTGATATAAATGTTTATTTCATCAATCACTGCAAATCTTTTTAAAATATATATATATATTATTGATTTTTTACAGAGAGGAAGGGAGAGGGTTAGAGAGTTAGAAATATCGATGAGAGAGAAACATCGATCAGCTGCCTCCTGCACACCCCCTACTGGGGATGTGCCCACAACCAAGGTACATGCCCTTGACTGGAATCGAACCTGGGACCCTTCAGTCCGCAGGCTGACACTGTATCCACTGAGCCAAACCGGTCAGGGCAATCACTGCAAATCTTGATTCCTATACTGTAGCGCCCAAATTGAGAAAGGACATGATTAGAACTGTAACTGACTTATTTATTTGTTATTTTTAAAATAAATTTTTATTGATTTCAGAGAGAAAAGGAGAGAAACATCAATGAGAGAGAATCATTGATTGGCGCTGCCCCCTACTGGGGATTGAGCCCACAACTTTGGCATGTGCCCTTGATCAGAATCAAACCTGGCACCCTTTAGTGTGTCGGCCGACCCTCTATCCACTGAGTCAAACTGGCTAGGGCCTGACTTATTTTTTTGTAACATCATTCTTGACTCAAAAGTTTTTCTGAAATCTGAGTAAGAACTTGTTGAGCCCTTGTGCATGAAGAAAAAAAAAATAGCAATTATTGCCCAGCCAGTGTGGCTCACTGGTTGAGTGTGGTTGAGTGTTGACCTATGAACCAGAAGGTCACCTTTCCATTCCTGGTCAGGGCACATGCCAGGGTTTCTGGGCTGGATCCCCAGTAGGGGGCATGGAGGAGGCAACTGATCAATGGATTCTCTTCCATCATTGATGTTTCTCTCTCTCTCCCTCTCCCTTCCTCTCTGAAGTAAAAAAAAAAAAAAAAAAAAAAAAGAAGCAGCAGCACATTTTTGTCATTAATGCTTTCTCAATGCTGGTGGTTATTTTTTGAAATCTGGGTCTTGGACACAATTGAGAACTAGTTTCTTATTTCAGATTATTGCCTATATCATTAGGGTCACCCCTAGTTTTTTTAAAACATAACTTTTAGTACTCAGGAGTTGGATGTTGTAGCTCTAAATCACTG